CCAGGCGTGATCGAGACAGAGAGTACCTGAAACTCTCTAGAAGACATTGCGCCGGGCGTAAAAGGAATTGCGCTGGGTGTGTACTGAGGCAGAAAATGCTTACCTTTCCTGGAAGGCCCTGCGCCGGGTGTGAAGACTTATGCGCCGGGCGCGAAACCCTAATCTAACTCCCCAGGCTCGTATTTGAATACATTTTCGAGGGTTTCTCCTCATTCACACATTGGGCGCGTTTTAGGAGCTATGGAAGGGATTCCCGGAGCTTGGAGTCGTTCGTGTGTGGGTCTTTCCTTCGGTTCTTCATTTCTCTCTTCATCTCTATTTTGTATTTACCCTCATTGTTTTGAGTGGTTCTACCCATTGTTTTGTGGGGTTAGATGTAACCAACGAATTCTATTGTAATCCTTACGTTTTCAATGATATATATATATATATGTTGTTCATTCATTGTTGTGTTGTTTCTATTCTTAATGCTTGCTTTGGATTGATTCTCCTTTGCATGATATATGTTCCATTGGGTGTTAGAAAATAACCATTGAAACTAGCTCTGAAACAAATGCTTAGTGGGAAATGTATCTAGGAATGGAGCTTGGCCCATTAGTAGTCTTAAACCCTAGCCCGTAATGCGGGTGTAGATATTGGGTACTCAAGGAATTGATATTCAATATCCGCACCTAGGCTCTTGCTCTAAGGGATTAGGCTTGAGTAAACTTATGGGTTGACTAAGCAATGTATGTAACAAAAGATTAAGGATTTATTAGTCTGACGTTTGGTGAAATCTGACCCCACAATCTCACAAAAACCATAATACCATTTCTACCCTTTTCCACACAAAAACCAATATTTTATAGTTTTAACATTCCAGTAGTCATGCTTTTCAAGTCACATTTACATGACAAACTACAAAAATGGAATTATTCTTTAGTCACGAATAGTTAATAAATGCTTATGTTACCTTCTAATCCCTGTGGATACGATAATTTTACTACTTGAACGGCCAGTATACTTGCCGTGTTTGAGACCGTTGATAGAATTAAACTGATTTACAATTATAACAAAAGTATTTCAAAGGAAATCTCAACAGTGCCTAACATCAAAGGTTATGCATCCAAGAGATGCTCTTATAGGTCATTCAAACATAATAAGTTCAAAACTCATTTTCTAGTTATACCTTTCCTAAAACACTAATTACAACCCCTAAAAATACTAATTACAAGGAAATAAATTACTACACTACACTACACTACAAAAAATATGCAATTTAGCGACCACCAAAATCGGTCGCTAAATTATAAAAATCGGTCGTTATTTACCTTAGTGACCGAATTTAATCAGTCACTAAAACCCTGGTTGCTGAGCTATTTAGCGACGGAAAAATATTTGGTCGCTATTTAGCGACCAAAAATTTCGGTCGCTAAATGATTGAAATGATTTTGGTCGCTGAAGCGACCAAATAAATCGGTCGCTAAATATTTATTTTTATTTTATTAAATTTTATAAACGTCGCAAATTTGGTTGTTACGAACCACTCATATTTGGCCTCTTAAGGATTTTATTTCACAATACTTAAGTTTTCAGCATGTTTTTCCCTTAATTACACAATTTTTTGGAAACTTCCCAAAAGGTCACACATCCCTATATTACTCCAAGTCAAGCACACTTAACTGTGAAGTTCTTATGAGATAAGCTACCGTAAAACAAATGCATGTTGTTAGTATAAGTAGTACAAATTAATTCATTTAAGTCATCCTTATCTATCCAATCTCATACTTATATTATTTTTGGATCCTTATCATTTCGGTATATTCGGACCGTTATAAATATATAATAATATATAATAATTATATTACTAATAAT